GCTTGGGAATCTCCTACTCAACTCTTTAATGCAATGCAGATAAGGTAGGATCTTGACATTCTTAGTAGTCCATTCTCCTTGCACCTGGTGAACCAATAAGTCAGAATCTCCTATCACCAAGAGTTCTTTGATGTTCATGTCGATAGTCATCCTGAGTCCGAGAATACAAGCTTCATATTCTGCCATGTTATTGGTACAGTAGAACCTAATCTTAGCTGAGATTGGGTAATACTGACCTGTTTCTAAAATTAAGACTGCTCCTATTCCAACTCCAATAGAGTTTGATGCTCCATCGAAGAACATTCTCCATCCATCGTATGACTCTGATATGTCTTCTCCAACAAACAAAACCTCTTCATCAGGGAAGTAGGTCGTGAGTGGCTTGTAATCCTGGTCCACCGGGTTTTCTGCGAGGTGATCCGCCAAGGCTTGTCCTTTGATGGCCTTCTGTGTCACATACACAATATCAAACTGGCTCAACAAAATTTGCCACTTCGCCAGTTTACCCGTAGGCATGGGCTTCTGAAAGATGTACTTTAGTGGATCCATTCTTGAGATCAAGTACGTGGTGTATGCAGACAGGTAATGCCTAAATTTTTGCGCAATCCAAGTCAAAGCGCAACATGTTCGTTCCAACAACGTGTATCTTGCCTCGTATGGTGTGAACTTCTTGCTCAAATAGTAAATAGCTTGCTCTCTTCTACCTGTCTCATCATGCTTCCCCATAACAGATAGATACAATAAGAAAGGCTTTCCAGGCTCTGGTGGGACCAATACTGGTGGGTTGGACAAGTATTCTTTGATTCTATCGAAAGCCCTTTGGCATTCCTCGGTCCATTTCGTGGCAGCATCCTTCTTCAGTAACTTGAATATGGGTTCACAAATCACTGTAGATTGAGCTATGAACCGACTGATGTAATTCAGTCTTCCCAAGAAACTCATCACGTCCTTCTTGGTCTTGGGTGGAGGTAGCTCTTGGATTGCCTTTATCTTTGATGGATCCAACTCTATGCCTTTCCTGCTAACAATGAATCCCAATAGTTTTCCCGCGGGTACTCCAAATGCACACTTTGCTGGATTAAACTTTAGATTATACTTACGCAACCTCTCGAAGAATTTTCGTAAGTCATCCAGGTGGTCTGAACTTCTTTTGGATTTGATAACGACATCATCCACGTACACTTCAATTTCCTTGTGGATCATATCGTGAAAAAGGGTAGTCATGGCGCTCATGTAGGTTGCACCGGCATTTTGAGACCAAATGGCATTACTTTGTAGCAATACACTCCTCATGGAGTGATAAACGCCGTCTTCTCTGCATCATCTTCATCCATCAGGATTTGGTGATATCCTGCAAAGCAATCGACAAATGATTGCAACTCATGTTTTACACAATTATCGATGAGTATATGAATATTTGGAAGAGGGAAATCATTTTTAGGACTGGCTCGGTTGAGATCTCGATAGTCCACACATATTCTGATCTTTCCATCCTTTTTTGGCACATGCACAATATTGTCTAACCATGTGGGGTAATTTGTGACCCTTACAATGTTCGCCTCAATTTGCTTAGTTACCTCCTCCTTGATCCTTAAACTCAAATCTGGCTTGAATTTTCTTGTCTTTTGCTTCGCAGGTAGACAAGTGGGATCAGTCGGTAATTTGTGCGAGACAATATCAGTGCTTAATCCTGGCATGTCATCATAAGACCAAGCAAATACGTCAACATACTGCTTAAGCAACTCTATTAACTCTTGTTATTTTTCAGCCTCCAAATATATGCTGACTCGTGTCT